CGGGGGAGGGGGGGAGGGGGGGGGGGGGGGGGGCTAAAAAGCTGGTCTTAGTTCCCACATATTGACTTGTTGTTTCTACCCGACCTTGTGCTTTCTCCCACCTTTCTCCCACCTTTCTCCCACCTTTCTCCCACCTTTCTCCCACCTTTTTCCCCACCTGTCTCCCCTCTTTCTCCCACCTTTCTCCCCACCTTTCTCCCCACCTTTCTCCCACCTTTCTCCCCTCTTTCTCCCACCTTTCTCCCCACCTTTCTCCCACCTTTCTCCCATATTTCTCCCACCTCTCTCCCACCTTCCGTTGATTGTCGTCGGTATCTTAGGCAAGCCGCTTAAAAGACAAATACCGAGCTTCATCGGAGTTGGAACACAGCGTTTGGATATGCAGATATTTCTTTATGCATTGATACCATAGAGCACGGTTGTGCAGGCCGCCCAAAATTTTAAAACGTATTGTATAAAGCACCACGAACAGCAACTAAAAGAAGCCAGAAACAAATACTAGCCAAATATTTTATCAATACAAGCATCTCTGGTACCTTAACGGCCATTATTGTGTTTATCAACTTGTTTAGTGTACTTACGACCTTAGAGCATGCATCAAAATAACATTGAGTGTGTATCTAGCTTACGATTATTATTGTTCATATTGCTGCTCATTTATATTATGCATATGATTGTAAGCCTATGTGTGTGTGCATGTGTGTGCACGTGTGTACGTGTGTGTGTGTGTGTGTGTGTGTGTGTGTGTGTGTGTGTGTGTGTGTGCGTGTGTGTGTGTGTGGGCGCGCGCGCGTGTGTGTATGTGTGTGTACTCGTGGTGGAACACCAAACCAATGTGCCAGGATCTGGACAATAAAGTTGTATTTTATCTTATCTTATAGCGCCGCAAAACATCTACTGTGTCATGCCATAGTCTCCGCGCGACGCACTTTAAACATAATATAATGTTCAACAGTCGTAATCTGACCCATAGATTTTACGAACATGGTATAGGTTGGTCGGGGGGCTCTCGTGGCCTAGAGGTTAAGGTGTTGGCCTCTCATTCAAAGGTCCCGGGTTCGAATCCGGGTAGCGACCGAAACATTTTCTTCTCTAAATTTGTCTCCTTTCACTTCATTTCCTGCTCTCTAGCAATGTTCTGTCGACTGCTTTCGTCTCCACTTTCTGCCCCCACCCCGTTTGCTTCAGAAAAATTCTTAGTATCTCATACAAAGATCATATCACAAATGGTGAAGTCAAACAACGAATGAAGAATGAAATTGGACCTCGCTGACCTTCTCACTCTGGTTTGGAAGCAAAAACTGCACTGGTATGGACACATCACCCGTTCACCCGGCCTTGCCAAGATGATCCTGCAAGGCAGAGTCCAGGGAAAAAGGAGCAGAGGCAGACCACAGAAGAGTTGGGAGGGCAACATCAAGAAATGGACAGCCCTGGAACTCAAAAACACGCTCAGGGAAACTGAAGACCGGAAGGAGTAGAGGAAGCTGGTGACCAAATCTTCAAAAGGGCCCCGACGGACATCCAGTCGACGGGAAAGGTGCAGGTAAAGATATATATATATATATATTTTATATATATATATATATTTATATAAAAATATATATACATATCATCATCATCATCATCATCATCCGGTGCCTTGCCGACTGGCGTGGGCGATCATGGACCTCCACTTCACTCTGTCTTGCGTTGCAGCAATGGTGTCTGTTATTCTTGCTGCTCCTAGCCATGTTGTCATCTTGTCCAGTGTCTTTTCCCTCTGCTTCTGCCTCTCTTCTCATCAAACTTGCCTGTTGTTACAATATTCTCCAATGCCTCTTTCGCACTGCGTGTGCGAAGAAATTTGCCCGTCGCTTTCTTATATTCGTCATAAGCTGTCTTCTGTATTTGCTTCAACCAAGACTTCTTCATTTGTTATTCTAGCTGTCCATGGGATACGTAGCATGTGTTGTTGATCCATGAGGTTCTTGGGAGAGAATACAGCAGTGGTTTCCCCTTGCCTTTTGCAGGAGATATATATATATATATATATATATATATATATATATATATATATATATATATATATATATATACATATATATATATATATTGGACAGAGGAGCTCTCGTGGTCTAGAGGTACAGTGTTCGCCTCTTATTTAATAGGTTCCGGGTTCGAAATCTGACAGGGATGCAAAACTTTCTTCTCTAATATGTTCTCCTTTTACCTCCTTTCCTGATGTCTAATCGTGTGCTGTCATCTGCTTTCAACTCCACTTTCTGCCCTTCCCCATTTCCCCCTCCACTGGGCTCCTGGCTCTTTCTACTGCGACTCCTGGCTCATTTTATTGCTGTCATTCCACCACATTACTGATATTAGTGTAGGCAAGATTTCACACCTAGCCTTCTTGGATCATCATCATCCAGTGCCAGATCTGCGACAGATATCGGCGATCATGATTTTCCATTCATTCCTTTGCTCGGATGCTCTCAGAAAAGCTATGTTTCCCTGATCTTTCCCTGTTACCCATTTGTTTAGGTTCCCTAAGTATGTTGTTCTGGGCCTACCCCTGCCTTGCTTGCCTTCAATTTTGCCAGTGAGAGCTAGATGTTCAAGACCCTTATGTCTATTCAGGTGTCCCAAAAACTGCATTTGTCGTTTCCTGACTTCTTGGATAAGGACAAAAAAAAAGATCTCGGAGGTCGTGTGTGCAAGCCAGACACACGCTGCCTTGGTGGTCCTAAAATCGATAAGAGAAGGCTTCGGCTGTCACTCGTGCAAAATTCAAAATTAACTCCTACCAAAGTAACAATGCTTAATGTGTCTCGCGCGCGCTTATGCAGTTGCAAGCGCTATAAAACGATTACCAAACAAAAAGATATCGGACAAGAATGGCATAGGAGTGTATGCATGCAGTACTTTAAAGCAAGGGAAAGAATAATTATACATGTATAGATAGGGAGTATACGAGACATTCAGTAAAGATACCTCGGACCGTGTTGCCTTTCTGAAAATGCTCATGCGTGTGTGTTTGTGTCTGTGTGTGTGTG